GAAATAAGAAACACAAATGTGGCACGTATAATATATTTCAATATAAAGACACGCTGGAATGTAATTAAACACCAACACATAAAAGCCAACCAATATCCATTCCATAAAAAGCACAATTCCTGGTTTAATACTCGTACGGTGAGCGTCACAGACGCCATTTTGTTTCTATCTAATCTCCGTGAATCGCAGACAAAGGCGGGTCAGGCACGGACTGAGACGGCACGATCCAGATCATCCAGCACCTCCTTGAAGATGAGCGGGTCCAGGTTCTTGCCGAGCTGGTACAGCACGAACCAGTCGCCCAGCCAGAGTCGACCGGCCACCGCCCTCACCTGCTCGGGAGGCGCCAGTCGCGCGCGCGTGCGCAGCAGCGTCGTCCGCAAGTTGGGTGACAAGACGACGAAGAAGCGGTAGACGATGGCCATGGCGCTGATGGCGGTGAGGATGACCAGCCAGAACCAGAGGATGATGTACACCTTCTCGTTGACGATGTTGAGCGGGAGCACGCAGATGGCGTCGTGCACCTGAGGGGTGCCCGAGTGACCGAACGTCTCAAAGTTGCATTTGGTCACCTTGGGGAAGACGAGCGTCATCGGATCGGTCCGCTCCTCAGAGGCGCTCTGTGAAAACTCCACCACGCGCAGGCCGTATGTCGTGAACTCGTAGTCGAGAAAGTAGTCGATGAAGAAGATCTGCCCCACGACATTCACCAGGTTTAGAAACTCACAGAAGAAGAACTTGAGCGCGTACATCGTGTGGTTGTGCATGTTACACGTCAGGTACTCCACCAGTAGCGCTTTGCGGTCGTTCTTGGCCTGCTCATCAACAATCGGACAGTTGAGCTCCATGACTAGCATCCTAGCCTTACCGCCCTCCCATCCTTGCCACAAAAAGCGAGGAGTATAGAACATCAGCGCCTGCAAGAACAACACGAAACAGACCCACTGGTAGTAGGCGTGATACTGCACGGTGTCATCGGTCTGCTTTGTGCCGACTCCGTAGTGAGGGGTAAATCCTCGCTGGACTTTGGTGGCCTGCTCCACGCTGAATGTCGAGTGGATCCAGCAGTAGGAGTCGAAGACGTTGTCGGGAATGTTGGAGGTGCTGTAGCAGTCGATCGGATCTCCGATGTATTGATGTGAAGTTACAAGAAGGGAGAATATCACCAACATCACTGTCGTCACCTTGTAGTGCAGACGGAACACATGATTGTCTGTGCTGACGTCATCCAGCTTCAGCATGCCCTTGACGGAGCCGAAGAGGTCAAACATGATGACAGAAGTTTAGGAGACTCTTGAAAGAACACCACTAGAATGATCCGACGACTAGCTCGTGCACCAGGGAGCACAGAGCCGGCTGTAGATGACCCGACTTAGACCTGAACTCCCTGGAGGCGCACAAAGGACTGAGGGCGATCGACTGAGCTCGGCGCACAGGAAGACCCAGCTGAGATAGTGCATGTGACATCACATCCGCCGGGGACTGTGTCGAGGAGACGCAGAGCCGGCTGGTTTTCTGTGGAGAGTGACATCAATGGACATCAAGGAGAAATTGGGAGAATCGCCGCCGGATAATGTGATGACGATCAGCCTCAAAGCATTGCTTAACCCTCGCCCGCACATGGGGGGGGGGGGGAGTGGTTGCCACCCCACCCCCCCAGGCAGTCTTTCTGCTCTGCACTCAACATTTTTAGAGCTAGAAGGCTGATTTTTCGTATTAGCTGCTCGTCTATCCTTTCTTGATGTCCACAGAAAATTTCAAGTTTCTGTGATTTTTGGTTTCGGAGATATGACCTTGTTTTTCAGGTCATGTCATGACCCAAATGGCCAATTCTCAACATCTTGCGGTTGCCATGGGCCTTGTAAGCTTTTGACACCCTGATTTCGGCCTTTTTTGCCAGTCTTACCTCCCACCTATCATGGAACATGTTGTTCGACGATGTACAGGGGTCAAGGTCAGGGTCAAGGTCAACCTAGGTCATCTAAGATAATTGCGTTTTAGGCAAGCTGAATTTACTTTTTGTGAAGTTTTTTGACTGCATTTTTGGTAAAAGCTTCTCAGATCATGATTTCATGTGATATGGACCTAAAAACAATCGGTGCACACATCAGTACCTATACACACAGACACACACAGACATACAAACACATATAATTGACCTTGACCTAACTTGACCTGAAATGACCTTAGCAGCAAAATTCTGGTCGGGTAGTGTGACAAAGAGGTTCTAGCTGGCTTGGCACCAGAAAACAGCATCGTCATCGGTATTTGATAAGCAGCGCACTTGATATCCAACGGTGACCCAAAACAGCAACATTTTTTAGTTTGACCTGACCTGGAAGGTCAATGACTGACCTGAGAAGGTAAAACTGGGTACCGTTGGATTCGTCTCTTCCCAAAGAATCTTTTTGGTCTTTACTGCTAAGCTCTATCTCCAACAGGAACGAAATGGTGCGGGGGGTGGCAACCCCCCCCCCCACCCCCACCCCCATGTGCGTTCTAGGATGGGAAAATGGCATGTGCGGGCGAGGGTTAACTTCTTGATCGTCCCACATTCCTCACGGAAGTTAGCGATAAGGCGTCATGGGCACGCCCGTGATTGCTGAATAGGTGTTGACGCTCATTCGTAATGCAAAACGCATAGATTTCAAGAAATGTAACCCTCGCACATGTAGTGGGGGGGGGCGGATCTCCCCCGGTTTTTGCAAATAACCCGCGCAAAAAGCGACCGATCGCAACGAAAGTTTCAGTACCTACCCTCGAGTTGATCAATTTTACATCAGCTCTAAAAATTGCATGACCCTGACCGGAAGGACCTTTGACCTGTGACTTATTTCTCGAGACCATGTTTGGCCGGAATCGCGATTCGGCGTGTGTCAGCTTACATTATCCGCGCGTTTCCATGGTCTTTTTTGTGATTGTAAACGCTCAACCATGTTAAATGATGTTGATCCCATGCATTATGGTGGGTTTCAAGGTCACTTGAGAGTTGAGAGTCAGGTCAAGGTCATTCACTTTTGATGACCTTGTTTTTTATGATTTTAACATGTTTCTAGGGTAGTTTTTTGCGCTGATTTCGATCCATTTGAACATTCACGAAGTAGTGTTAGTGCCATCGTCATCGTAACCATGTTACGACGCCCTTGGTGGTGGTTGACACCTACTGTGGATAGCAGGCAGGACGCAGTGGCGGATCCAGGGGGGGGGGGGCAAAATGGGCATTTGCCCCCCCCCCCCAACGGCATAATTTTAACATTACGCCTATCTATGGACGATGCATGGAATAAATCGATAAACTGTTATGGTTTGCCCCCCCCCCCCAAAAAAAAAAACTCTGCTGGAGCTGGATCCGCCTCTGGCAGGACGCACACTAATTGACCTGACCTGACCTGATCCGACCGGGCCTAAATGCACGAAGACATAATCTGTGATCAAAACTAACACGAAATTCGTGATCAGCGCCCCGAAAAATCTCATAATAGCTACACTTTACGAAGTTCTAGCAGGTCCCGATTTTCCCCACATATGGGTCCTTGACCTGACCTGGAAGATACCTACCTACCTAGAACCTAAAAATTGGATATCACCGGCTTCCTCTCGTCACGGGCAACACGCTCCTTTCGTTTTCCGCGAAGCTGTAGCTCGATCAGGGGCCGAAAGGCAGGGGGTCCAGCTGCCCCCCCCCTACATATTAGCAGTGGCGGCGGAACACCTTCAATTCAAGGGGGGGGGGGCACTGCCGACTTTTGGTCCCATTCTTTCCATGCAACGCCCAAATGATAAAATGCCAAAATCAAAGGATGACCCGGTGCCCCCCCCCCCCCGTTCCGCCGCCTATGCACAATTTGAGACGCTGGAAAACGTTGCACACAGGCGAGTGGCAAGCAATACCTACCTATAGAATTATACCAAACTAGAGTTGTAACGGGATGCGAAAATTCCTTGATGTCCATGCAAACTCATGAAGGATTAGTTTCTCGAATTAAATATCCGCTTAACATATTTGATTTTCATATCGATGCATAGAAACTGGTAACACGACTTGTTGGCCCGTTGGCCGTTGGTTCATGGGTGCAAATAAATGGAGGAAAGAAAACATTTATGTCATGATGATCAAACAGGGCCATCGCCCATCTGTAAAGGTGGCCGTCCACTGGTTAGGCGTGTATTCAGCGCGCAATCGTTCGGCGCCTAGCGCGCATTGAAAAGTTCAATTATTTCAACTCTTCAGCGCGTGATTCGGCGCCGACCAGTCGACGAATAATCAGCTGACTGCCCTTCATCGCGCGTTCGGCGCTGAACCGCAGTCGGCGCGCAGCCCATAGATTCCAATGTTAAATTCATCGCGTAAAGATGTGCGCCTAACCAGTGGACGGCCACCTTAACTGAACAGTGTTACAGTAGTGCTACAAAGCCATGTGTTCGCTAGCAATATCAAGTTAGCAATATCAAAAGTGACAAAATAAAAATATGATAAAAATTATTTATAGTCACCGTGATAAAAATGTTGATTCGACGTAGCAGCGGCACGAAACCAGACTTGTGTGAACAACAACGAACGCGTACTTCAGTCTGGTGCATCCCTCTTCACCGGATAAAAGTGCCGAAACCCGGGATCGAACCGGGGACCTTTAGATCTTCAGTCTAACGCTCTCCCAACTGAGCTATTTCGGCCGCAGAATCTAAGGGCTCAAACCTTCAAACAAATGGTGGGTGTCTCTTGCAATCGCTGATAAGTAACTGTGGTGGCTACGAAAACGACTCAGATTGCTCAGTAAATTCCGATTGCACAGGAAGTACGGCAATAGACGAATAGAAAAACCCCGCTAGCGCATGCAGTTTGGCTATGCTGCCACAAACGCCTCGCAAGGGAACGAGCCGTGCCATCTAACGGAGCTATCGTGCAATATTTAACCTCATGTGGTATAGAGGTCGCCAGCAGTCACTCTGAGCCAATCAGAGACTCTCACATGTGTGACGTCGACATTGATCGCCGCCCCCTGCAGCCGACGCGCCGTGTGGACCCCTACGTCATTGGCTACGTACTCCCGGGCGGAGTCGCTGCGAGTGTCGTGTGGGACGGGTTTGTCGGCTGTGAAACTACACATTTGTCAGTGGTACAAGAAGGGTGTATTACCATGCGTTATGATTTGGGGACGATTGTGCTTGCGGCGTTGATAGCCACCGCCAACGGTAAGTGCCTGGTTCAGGCTGCGCCCCTGCGCGGCAGAGCGCCGGCCGCTGAAGGTCGGTTGGTGACTCGGCATACCCGGCCCCGCCGCGCCGGCCCGCACCGGCACGGCTCCATGGGGTGGTTGTGGTTGTACTGTGTTTGCCTAATGGAATGTGGACTGGGGAATGCCTGGTTGGGTTCTGACGTTTTGCGCTCGTTCCGTGCTCCCAGGTTCGGAGGGTTGGTGGCTGGTGCATTTCCGCCGAAATGATTTGTCCAAAATAACAGTTCAATCCACAGCATATCTTTTCCTCATTTTCTCCGTATTGAGATTCTACTGGCAATGGATCAACATGCCATTACGACGAACAGCTGCGTACCATGTGTTCTGCTGAACTTTGGAACCGGTTAAATTAACGGCCATACCTATTACGACTGATATTGACTATGACAAGCAGATTTGGACTCGGATGACTGACTGACTGATGACTCGTGACAGATGTTCGTCAGCAAAATTCGTCACAAATTCGAGGTCATACTCCGAGTCCTCCACCACTCAACCAGCCTGCGATTTGGAAAACACCAATTTATCCTTGTTGAAGGAAATGTCTGAGACCACCTGAACTGACCTGACTCGTTCAAACTTCAAACCCTTTATAGCTCGATGGATAAATGGACACTTCAGCGAATCTACTCGTAAGATAAAACTGTTCTTTGGAGCCTGCGTGGTTGCATGCCTCTGGCACAATCTGTTTATTCGACGCTGTATTGATTTCACGTTCGTGACTCAGCTATCCCCGCCATGCGACGGCCTGTTGCCTTAGGGTTGGTGGGCATGGCTACTGGTTGCCAGGGGGCGTGGCCGGTGAACGGGAGAGGGCGTGGCTACTGGTTGCCAGGGGGCGTGGCCGGTGAACGGCAGCGGGCGTGGCTACTGGTTGCCAGGGGGCGTGGCCGGTGAACGGCAGCGGGCGTGGCTACTGGTTGCCAGGGGGCGTGGCCGGTGAACGGCAGCGGGCGTGGCTACTGGTTGCCAGGGGGCGTGGCCGGTGAACGGCAGCGGGCGTGGCTACTGGTTGCCAGGGCGTGGCTTCAGGTTTGTGGCTGAAGGAGGTGTGGCTAGTGGTTGTTGGCGGTGTCCCGTCGATGCGTCTCCAACGCAACTGTATTCAAACTTTCACATCTATGGCTCATGGCTGGCGCTTGTTCCGAATAACCACGTGAAACGACTAGATAGGATACCCTTCGAAACAACACAAGCCTGACACATTTTTAACAAACATGAACCACCAGTTGTCACTCATCCGTACATCATTTCAATAAGTCTACGCTAGGGCTGAGCTCTGGGCACTTAATGAGCATTCAATTGAGCAGTGGGCGGCTCGCATGGTTCGTCTACCCAGAACTGACCTCGGGCCTGACGAGCCCCTCTGCCGCCTAAATGGTCTGTCCGCTGTGCAAGTCACCCCTGAAGGATAAGCGCACCAGCCAGAGAAAAGGCGCTTCCAGGGTTCACTTCAAGGAAGACGTGCTATGGCAAACCGTAAGGATTTAGAGCTTATACTTCATCTTGCGCTATGCGTATCAGACGGACATTCGCCGCACTATTATTTATAGCAATTATATTTTATCATTATAAGGTATGTGTATATTACCATAGAAAAATTTATGACTTATTTAGAATAAAGTATGAATTATTCGACACACCAATATATTTTATGGAAATTTTGTAGAATAAATACGTCTTTGGGTAAAACTGGGTAAAACCGGGGTTTTATATGGTTCCGTTTTTGCACCACGTTCATTTGACTCACTCGACCACCAGGCATGTCCCATGGGTGACACCTAACCGCCCGCATGAGTGTGCGGGAACTTGATTCATGCATCCACACGCTGCGTCGGCTTTCTATTTGGCTTTGACGCTGGCCGTGGTATTGTTTGAACCGGGGAAACGTCACGTCACGTGCGGCTGAGTCACGGGAATTTAGAGATGCAAATAGCACTAGAAAGGGTAAAACAAGTATCGGCGAATCCAGAAATGTGGTTGGCGCGCTCCCCGAAATGATCCTCTAATTCGTAAAAAGGAATCTGCAAGTGCATTTTTTTTTTTTACTGTTTCATTGTCTACATTACATAGCTGTATTTCATGCATCCCGTCTCTTGCAAAGACTGCCTCCTTCTTGGGCTGTTTGTTCCCGAACTGCACTCGGCTGACTCGAGATTACTTTACTACGGCTGACTGGCTGGCTGCTATTAGACAGAGATGTTATAAGCCACTCGCCGTACCTACTGCATTCACGGATGAGGCACATCGTTTGACGTTCGCCCGCTCAGGAACCCGTTTGCTATTTCGGGGACCGAGTTTTGAGTCGACCTCGGGGGCTTCCTGTCTGTCGGGGGGGGGGCGACATTTGGCGAGGAGCCACACATCCTGGGGGAGGGGAGGGAAGGGGATGAGACGCTCAGACGACTGACCTTGACCCGTACGTGCGCGGGCTGGTCCGTAATGGGGAAGAAGGGGATGACAGCCTTTGGCAGAAGCTGTACTTCCTTAATGTCCAGGGCTTCTCTCTTAGCTCTTCCCACGCGGCAACGAAAGAGCGAATGACATTCAGCTAATGAAATTACCTGCCACTTCACTTGACGCCTAAGCCACTGAGGGGTGGAACTCAATGATGAGTTTTGGTTTTATAAATTCGCTTTTATACTTGTAAATTATCCGCTATTGAGTGAAAAGATGCAGGAGTATCACAATTCACAAGCATTACAAGCGGAGCAAAAGTTGAACTCAGTGACAATTCCATAGCCGACGAATTGCTGGTAGTTCTATGACTCCGCCGATCAGGGCTGCGGAGTCGGAGTCGGAGTCGGAGTCGGAGTCGGTCGGAGTCGATAGTTGTGACCGGAGTCGGAGTCGGAGTCGGAGTCGATTTTAGAAACCCGAGCCGGAGTCGGAGTCGGAGTCACCGAAAATCTGTCGACTCCGCAGCCCTGCTAGGTCTGCGGAGTCGGAGTCGGGAGTTGGAGTCGGTCGGAGTCGACAGTTCTGCCAGGAGTCGGAGTCGGAGTCGGAGCTGGTTTTTGAAAGCCGCAGTCTGAGTCGGAGTCGGAGTCGCCGAAAATCCATCGACTCCGCAGCCCTGCCGCCGATGGCCATTGTGGTCCGGGCGCCCCCCCCCCCCTCACTTCTATGACTCAGACCTACGACACTCGTCTGCGTCTTTCAGCCGCATCCCTCCAGCGATCCGGGATTTCCCCTTGTACCTCTGCGTCGCGCTCTGACGGCTATACGACTATGACGTCAGATAATGACGTCACGGATCGAGTTCTCTGTTCTTTCACCACTAACTCGCCTCATAAACAAGCTGAAGCGAATCAGCGGACGGCAAAACTTCCAATGTTCCGAGATAGGACTTTGTGGGGCTCGGAGAAATCCCTCTCGCGTTCTCCGACCGAAAGCCGCGTGTGTTAGGCATGGTTAGGCCTCAGGTTAGGTTATGTTGTTTTCAGACCACGCTATTTTCATGCTGAATTTCAGTTTACTCAAAGCCGGGGCTTGTACCGGGCTTCGTAACGGGGAACTACCAGCGATTTCCCGGCAGGTGCATGGATCACGCCTTATTGACTCAGCAAGGGGAGGGTGCCTATTTGAAGGGTAAATGGGCCAATCGTGTGGCGTCGGCGTCGGTAGGTCCCTCGTATGATAGCGCTTATCGAGTGATTCATGATGTACGAGTATGCATTAGAATGATGTGCAATGCTGGGAACTTAGGGATTGTCCCAACAGTCCCATAGGCGGTGGAGCGGGGAGGGCACCGGGGCACCGTGCCCCCCTTTGATTTTGGCATTTTAACATTAGCCCTATGGGCGTTGCATGGAAAGAATGGGACCAAAAGTCGACAGTGCCCCCCTTAACCCGGCAGTTGCTGGGGTATTTCGCCACCCACCGTTTGCTGGGGGGGGGGGGCGTTAAACGCCCCCAGCCGATAACTCGAGAACCAATAGGCGCAGCGAAACGCACGGGGCGGCAAACGAAAGAACGCGACGAGACGCTTCAGATGAGTACTTAAAAGTTGAATTTCGAGGTCACAGGTTAGGTCAAGGTCAGGTCAAACACCTGAAATCGGGCTTTCAGTAGCATGGACTTCAGGACTTCGCAATGGGCGCCTCTCGTCATAAACTCTGTCAAAACGGTGCACAATCCATCATATAAGGCCTACAAGAGTGTCAGCTCCATGCAGGGGTCAGTCAAGTATAGGTCAGGGTCAAGGTCAGGTCAACCGGGCAGGCACATATCCCCGAAAATAAAAACTGATATACGCAGCCTGTGACACATGTTTTATGGGTAATTTGGGGCGTAGAACACGATGGTGACATTCATTTTATCATATGTGTACGTGTTTGGCTAAAAAAGTTCAATTTAAGAAATTAATGTATCATGGTCGTGAAGTAGTCACGAGAAATTGCCAAGATTCAGTTCAAGATTTTGGAAAATGCGGATCCATAATCAATAATCGAAGATAGCCATTTGATTGTTCATGGTATTGGCAGTCTAATGGCGTTTACGGCATGTCTATATGTCTATTCTGTGATTTTATATGATTTTTTGAACATATGCCGTTTTTGGTCGAAAACTCAGAAATCATGACGTCACTAAAACCTCGATATCTCAAAAATTTTCCGACCGATTTTTTTGAAACTTTGTCACAATAAACTTCAATCAATTCCCTTAAAGGTACCTAAAATTTGGCGCGCCTGCGGCGCGCCGTTTTTATGCTATGGCCCGGCGAAAAAAGTGGGGGCGTTTAACGCCCCCCCCCCAGCAACTCGCGGGTTAACCCGCGACCTGGTGGGGGGGGGGCTATTTTTTGCCCCCCCCTCCAGACTTTTCGATATATCTCCAGAACCGCTGCGCCGATCGTTACCAAACTTTCAGGACCCTCCTGGACATCAATTTTACACATTGTAACCAAAATTTTTTCCAAAGGCTATGATAGGTTGGCCGGAAATGACGTCAGAG